ATATATATATATATATATATATATATATATATATATATATATTGTTCTTCGTTTATAAAAAAACTCGTTAAGAAGCTTACCTACTGTTGCTTGCTTTTCTTCGTTTTCAGCATGTCTTGTGAGTGCCAAATTCTCCAAGCTCATTTTTCTCATTATACGTCTAAGAAATTTCAACTTTACCGTTTTTATGTTAAGTACCGTATATCGGGTCCGTCTTATACTCCAGGTATAAAATGTGAAACTTAAATCCTATAGATGGTTAGCAGGGAAAATTCATTCATGCTGCCGTAAGAACCTGCCAAAAACACAGCACTCACTCATGAGGTATTGTAGAATCGTGGTAGTTATTTATCTCTCCACGGTTTTTTCATTAGAATTTGAGTAAAAATAAAGTATATGCTTACTGAATTTATTTAATAAATTCAATACAATACATTTTAAAATAGGATTATGGGAGCGTCTTGTACGGCGAATGTAACCCGAAACCTACATTTAAACTTGAAAATTTCGGGGTCGTCTTATACGTCCAGTTATCTTGTACGTCAGCATATACAGTATAATTTTTCTTTTTGTTTCCATTTTTCCTTAAGACATTCTTGTTGCTTATATGTTCCTTCCATGATATTCTAAGATACTTCTTTTGAACCAGACCCCTGTTACCTCAGATCTCTTCATCTGTGAGCAAATTATTCAGCATTCACTACTATATTGAAGAATTCATATTACATAACACTCTTTTCTTGGTTTCGAAGTAAAATTTCATGTCTCTTAATACTTTGCTTAGCTTTTAGAAGCCAACTTTCACTATTCCAATACACCTTCGGATGTCTGCTTCATATTTTCCGTTGTCTGTTAAAACACTTCCCAGATAGTTAAATTTAGTTCTTAACAATGACCATATATTTTGTCTTCTTACAATTGATAGTTAGACCTTTCTTCCCCCCTTTCCTTTACTGCATTGACCAGGATTTCCTAAGGAAGTCTAGGAAAATTTGATATTCACGGGACAGATAGAGGGCAAGAGGGAGAGAGGAAAACAACGCATAACATATCTGATGAGCTTGAGTAAATGAATGGCAGAAATCACAGAAAGACAAAGTTTATTAAGAGTGACAGGAAGTTGTAGAGAGCTATAATCGTCTACGCCCTGAGGGGACACAGCGCATAAAAAAAATCGGCCCTCAACACCGTGTCATCTGCATATCTTATGTTAAGATTGTGCCAGCCAATAATAAATTCAGGTAGTTCTCTTTGGATCGTCATGCTGTAAAAGTTAAAGGAATCCAGAGAGAAGACTTATCATTGTCGTACACACCTTTATATTTATGTGTGCTTGCCCAATTCATTTTGCTTGCAATAAATGTCCTGGGTTATTCTAGTATCTTTCCTAAATAAGCTATATTTTCTTAGCAGTTCGAATTCGTCATTATATCGTGTCTTATCAAATTGTTATATTCCGTGCTAAGGGAATAAACACATAACACCAGGTGGATACTAGAAGAAAGGTTTATTGTACACAACAAGTACAATATAAAATACAGTACAATTATACACAGAGGTCAGTCTAGTAGTGAGTGCCACTAACTAGAAGGCCAGACGTGCTTGCATCGTCTCGCTCTTACACTCCTCTAGCCTCTCGTAGACAGTAGACTTTATTGGTACTCACTACCTATAGTGTAATCATTCATGGAGGTGACTGGTTATTCCATTACATCACAAATGTTTTGGAATCGTAAGTAAAAGTATTTTTATTGATCTCACTGATACCGCCCTGATCGTAAATATCACAGTATGCCGTTACAGAAATGTATTTTTTTTATGTTACAAGACCGGTTTTATTGTTTCTCTTAAGTATAATAAAATATATTTATTGATAAATATTAACAATGAAGCTTTTATTGTAATGAAAATAAAAGTCTTTTATTGCAATACAAGTAAAAGTCTTTTATTGCAATGAAGGTAAAAGTCTTTTTTAAGTTTTATTGTAATACAACTAAAGTTAGGATTAGGAAAAGTGATTTTCAAGACTGACAAACGTAAATGATTTATTTGCTTTTCATTTAAATTTTGATTTGACAAGGTAAAACCGATAAAGCTTTGCAACAACGACTGCGACCGACAATAATAGTTTTTCAATCATATTTTAATATTACCATAGATTTGGTATTTCACATAAAAAATATTACCAAAAAATTGAGTATATTTTATAAACGTTAATAGCTTGATATGTAAATTATGTTGTTTCAATATTGAAAATGATGAATCATTTTGAACATTAAAACAATATAATTCTCTGATGTTCTATAACGCTTTCTAAGATCAATGGTGAAAATGGTTTGAGGCATTAAAGTTTTGAAAAAGGTCATGCTTCTTTGAACACTGTTGTCTGGCGTTACAGATTTTCAAAAAAATACTAAGTAACAGAAACCACATCACTTGAGGACTTTCAACAGTAGAAACAACTAAAATGTATAGCATATGTAAGTCGAAGAGAAAATAATGACATAATCAAGATGCTAACATTCCATAATACTTGAAAAACCTGTTTTCCTGAAAAAAGTGAGTTAAGAGAAAGGTTTTATAAACTTTAACTGAAAGCAGTACTGGCTGCTCAGTCAATGAATGCTAGATGTTTCGTTATAGGGAAATGGAAAATATTGTCATTCATCTATGCTCTGTGTCCTTATTTCTCCTAAAACTTGTTCCGCCATGCATTTACTCAAGCTAATTCTTCATGTGCCGTATCCCTTCAGAACGTAGGGGATCATGGCTCTCCACAATTTCCTGTTCTTAACAGCTCTTAATATATTTTGTCTTTTTGTTATTTCTGTTAAACCTTGTTCCGTCATCGGTTTACTCATGCTCACTAAGTAGCTTATGCGTTGTTTTCCTATGTCCTTCTTGGCTTCAATTTATCCTATGAGTATCAGATTTTCCAAGCCCTCTTTCCTCATTATGTGCCCTAGAAATTTCAAATGTCTCATTCTGGTGTTAAGTATAATTCTGGTGTTAAGTATAATTTCCTTTTCGTTTCGACTTTCTTTAAAACTTCGTCGTTGCCCATATCTTGGATCCATGGTATCATCAGAATCTTTCTGTTGCTTCATCTTTGAGGAAATTGTCCAACATTTACTGCCATATATGAGGACTAATATTACGTAACAGTACAGCATTTTTTCTTTGTTGTTTCTTTTGTTGATACTTTTCTGTTTCTTTGTACTCTGCTGAGCTTTTGGAAGGCATCTTTGGCTATCCCAAAGCGTCTTCAGATCTCAGTGTCGCATTTCCCATCTTCTGTTGAAACACTTCCCAGATATTTAATTTTTTGTACTTGTTTGATTTTGGTATCACCGATTTTTAATTTGCATTCTGGGGCTCATCATTTACTGAGAAGATATTATCATATCTCAAACAACGCTAAACTTTATAAATATGAAATTTGCCTGCTGGATTAAACAGATGAGTATCTCATGAATTAGAAGTCAGTTTTCGAGCCCTAAATTTGAATGTTCATTTTCAAAACTGACATACTCATTCTAATTGGGCGGTTGACGCAGAACAATCTTTCTACATTAATACTTTTTGTCCTACTACAAGTTAAGCTTAAATATTTATGTTCTTTATTTCACACGCCAGTACAAAAAAATGAGGGAATGTTAATGGAAAGAAAATCACTTAAAAAATTAGGTTAGAATCAGTGAAACGAGAAAACGAATTCAAAATAACAAACCCGGCACAAAATCATTTCCACATTACATATACATTAAAGGAAATATTTTAAACGCTAAGTAGGATGAAAATTAAAACTCTGTCAACGGGCGCTGAGTATAAATTCTGTAAGATTCGAGTTTCTATT